TGAAAAAGTTAAATCTATATAAGCAATGAACCTATTTTTTTTCATGTGGCCCAGTCTCCAAAAGGAGTCACTTTCAAATAATTACAACCAAAAAGCCAATAATACTTTTTTAAAAGGTCTCTAAATTTTCTTGTTGGAAGATATTTTATTGTCTACAACCCACACTCTTATAAAACTTCTTAAATCTCTTTCCTATTCTTCACATTCTTGTCCCATCCCACAATTTTATGAACCCTCCTATACTGCTAAATTCCTGCCCCCCTCCCCCAAAAAAAAACCACCTTTACAAATATCCCCTAGGTTAAGGTGTGTTTTTGCTCTCACTCATCTTCATCACACAGATCATTATAGCCTATGTACCAAAGTTCCTTCCTCCTTTTTTTTTCTAGATCTTTTTATTCTTCCCTTTGGTTTCTCTGATGATTTTTGATCATGAAAGTCTAGAAACTGGGCATACAGAGATAAGGGCTCCTCCCAGGTCAGGGAACCAGGTGAGAAGGCCAAATACAAAAAGATAGCATTCCTCTTTTCAGGAAAGAGGAAAGGGTGGGATCTTGTACATTTGAATAACTGCTTTATGCTGCCATTTGTAGAGAAGAGTTGAAAGCCAGTAACACATCTGAGATCCAAAGTTCAGTTAACCTTCCCAGGGCCTCTGCAGTCAAACTATGGAGCAGATCTGCTCTTTTCTAACTGGTAGATCACAGTTAGGGGATCAGGTCCCAGGTGCTTCACAGTATCATCAGCAACCTGTGCAGGAACTCCAGAGTCCCTTAGCAAAGCAGAGCAGGTGTTCTTTCACACAGTTTCCACTGCACCTGGCATCTACTCCATAGCAAATCCCTTCATACAGGCACTGGCTTCTTCATGCAAATGTGTCTGCAGTTTTGCAGAAAGAAGAACTCTGTCTCTGAGCTCAAGAAAAATGTCACATCCTGCTAATGCAAAAGACTTTCCATTCTCTTCTGCTCCCACTACCCTAATTTCTAAATCGAATTTAGTACCTCTTTTCTGCAAACATACTTGGGATTCCTCACTTAAAAAAAAATGTGACAGCCTACATGATGCATTTCTTCAAAGCTGTTTCTTGTGTCTTGTTTTTTATCTTTTGAGGCTTCCTTTTACCTTGGAAGGTGGGTTTCAGGAATGGTGAAGTTAATTTAAATTTGTGATTGTATTTGTTTAAACAAGCCACTTTCAGTTAATGTTTTTGCATTTCTGTGGCACAGACCATTGTAGGTCAAATTGATTTATTCCATCCTATTTAATCTGGTTTTTCTTTTTGAAGGAGGAAGGAGAGTGCTGGGATTTGAACTCAGGGCCGGTGCTTGCCAGGCAGGCACTCTACCATTTATGTCTGGGTTGACCTGGACTGCAATCTTCTTATTAATGATTTCCTGGTAGCTGGGATGACAGGAGCACCATCACACCTTGCTTATTATTGGTTGAGATGGAAACTTGCGACCCTTTCACTTGGACTGTCCTCAAACCAAGATCTTCCTGATCTCCACTTCCTAAGTAGTTAGGACTATAGTAGTTAGGACTACTACATCTGACTTTAACATGTTTTTGTTTGTTTGGTTGTTTTGTTCTTTACTTAACTCTTTTTCCCCACATTGAGTAACTATCACTCACATTGGTGTTTCTAAACCTAGGTAGCCTTACAAGTTTTCCCTGGTCTGATCAATTCTCATGTTTTTGCAGATCATTCGCCCTACGTGAAACACTGTGTCAAGTCATGTTAAAAATTTTAAGACATCTGAACAGGAGAAAGATAGTCTTTATGCTCCAGATATTTTAATCTGTTTCAATTGTGACCTTTTTAAAGAAAATTATGTTTTTCAAATAGTGTTTAACAGTCTCACTAAGATAAAATTTATATACTATACAATTTGTTCACTTGAGGTGCATAATTCAATGCTTTATAGCATATTCACAGAGTGTGTACATTGTCACAATTTTAGAACATTTGCATTAGCCATCCCCACCAAAGAAACTTTGCATCTTTTAGCCATCATCACTCATTCCCTTCCCATTCCCCCTCCCGCCTCGGGCAGCCACTAATCTCCTTTCTGTCTCTATAGATTTGCCTACTCTGGATACTTTGTATACATGTAACTGTACAATATGTGGTCCCTTATAACTGGTTTCTTTCATTTAACACAGATGTTTTCATCATGTTTTAGCATGCACTGGCACTTCAATTCTTTCTTTTTCTTAAAAACTATTTTTGAAGCAGTTTTAAGTTCAGAGCAAAACTGAAAGTACAGAGATTTCCCATACCCTCTGAATCCACACAATACATAGCCTCCCCCAACATACCCTAAAGAGCGGTACTTTCGTCACAATTGAGCTTCCTTATTCTTACATTATTTCCTATGCTTACTTTTCATTTATCTTTATTAGTTATTTCCTCCCCACACTGATCATTTAGCTCAGGAGTCCCAAGCAGCCTGTTAGTAGTTGAAGGGGGAAAAAAACAAAAAAAGAAGTGTAGGTGCATGTTTTAAGAGACATGTACTACTTTAAAGTTAGGGAGAGGCAGTCTTGTAGATTGAAAGGATCTGGGGCTTTAACATAAAGGGGAAACTAGGTATGAATTCCAGCTTTGCATTTGGCAAATTCTTTTTTAATTAGCACACATTATTTGTACAAAATAATGGGTTTCATTGTGACTTTTCATCCATGGATATAACATACATTTTCATATTCACCCCTTCTCTTTTCTCCCCTTTCCCCTCCCCTGGGTCCCTTGATCTTCCTTAACAGTAACCCTTCTCCTTTCATGTCTATTTTTTGTATCCTAGATTTCACATATGCAAGAAAACATTCAATACTTGCCTTTCTGATTCTGGTTTATTTCATTTACCACGATGATCTCCAGTTCCATTTGTTTCCCTGCAATGATTTTGCTCTTGCTGAGAGCTGAAGAGCAGTCCTTCTCTATGAGGAAGTTTGGTCCTCTTGGACTAGAGGACAAATTCTGAAGGGAAGCACATGCAGCAGTGAGGAAGGAAGGGGATGTCCGCCTAACCAGCCAGATGAGCCAAATCATCCCCGGCAATCAATGGAGTTTGAGTCCCAGCCAGATTACCCTTGTGTCTCCATTCTTCTTTAGAGCTGAATAATACTCCTTTGTATGTATACCACAATTTCTTTACCCATTAATCCACTAATGGGGACCCAGGCTGATTTTATAACGTGGCTATTATGAATAGTGGTTCTTTTCAATGCCCCCCGCCTCCTTATCTGTAAAATGAGTAACAAGACACCTATCCAAAGGAGTTCCTTGGAGGTGTGCCTGCTTTGCAAGTGTGAAATCATGAGTTAAAATCCCAGTCCCACCAAAAAAAAAAAAAAAAAAAGAACTAGAGGGTTCCTGCAAGATGAGTGCCATGATTGTGGAAAGCACCCTTCTACATCCTGGTACTTGGGAGGTTAAAGAAAAGGAAACTTGAGTTACAGGTGAAAAAATCCCCCAGCTTTCCAATACTTCATTGCAAGCAAAATAAACACTCCCAAGAGGCTGGTCTAATGTCCCCTTGAGAGTTTGAGAGGTGGGGGTCCAGACAGGACATATGAAGGATATTTCGGCACACTTAAATTCCAGTCTCAGTAAACCACTCGTTCAATTAATTTTCCTCTTTCTTTTCATTCATTTGAATCTCTTTTCTGGTGAGACTTCTGAGTTTAAAAGGTTTAGCAAGAAAGCCTGGACTCAAGTCTACATTTTAGTTTATTGGGAAGCTGCTCGGATAAAAAAATGAAAAACAAACTGGAAGACAATATAAAAAGGATCCCTATAGAGGATTCCTCATTTTGTGGTTCTCTTTGAATCTCAGAGTTAGATGATGCCTTAGAGATTTCGACTTCTTTGTATGACAGACAAGGAAAGGTTTTTAAACCAGTCCTGGAGCCTCTCACAATAGCCTAAGTGATGAAGGAATAAATGAAGGAAAGGATGGATAAATGAATGGTAGAGGATGAATGAATGTACAGGGCCTGCATAATTAGAACACAGGGGTCCTTTTTTGCTGCTCTTTCCTTCACAGTTGCTTTCAAGTCTTTTGGTTCACACTTGCCTGCCTAGTTTTATGACAGGCATATTCAAAAGCAGCTGGCCACCAAAAACATCTCCTTTATAAATACATATAAACATGTGCCTATCTAGCAAAGCCGTACTATCATAATCAGCACAAATTTACATGACAAAATTAACAATAATTTTGTATGGTTTTTGGTTTCAAATAATAAAAAACTCAACCATTATGTATTAGATATAAATTATGTGCAAATAATACTGGCCAATTCTCATTCACTTTTTTTTTTTTAAATGAATAACTTAAAGTCAGCGTGAGGTTTAAGGTACTCATAAACACGCCATATATTAAGGTTTATTTAGGCTTCTGTAGGCACCACAGCCTTGGTGCTTAGATGGTCGTTGGTCCTCCACTTTTCTTCTTCACATTTCTTAATTAAGGAAATGAAGGCGAGTATCACAATGTGATTCTGTAATTGGCCAAAATCTCACACACAGAGTGGGCTCAGGGCTCTGGCTGGGATTTAAATGTCATGTTCTTGACCAGTATACTAGGCTGCTTCTAAATATAATTAAGTATTTTGCATCTAGTAAATATAATTAAAATATTTCTAGCCAAACAAGAGTATTGGTCCATCTCCTCCCTTACAATTTCTCCCCCTTTCCTATCTCTGTTCATCTCAATGCTTTCTGGAAGAGTACCACACTCCCAGCGCCTCGCCCCTTCCTCCAGCCCCGCCCCCTCCACTACGAGGCCCCGCCCAGCCGCCCGAGCTCCGCAGGAATGAATGGCAGCGAAGCTGCCGCTCCGCTCCGGGCGCTGATTGGCTGCCAGGCTCGATGACGTGTTGGCGGCCGCGGGCTCACGCAGGAGGGCGGAGCTGGAGGAGGTGGAGCCGGGCTCCGGGGCGGGGCGCGGGCGCCCGGGGGCGGAGGAGCTGGGAGGCGGGAGGCGGGAGGCGCCGGGGCCGTTTAAGCGGCCTCCCTCCCGCCCCCAGCCGCCGGGTCTGGTACTGACCCTGCCCCGACCCCCGGCTTGGCCCACTCTGGCCCTGCCCAGCGGAGCGGCTCCGTAGGGCACCCAGGCGGCCTCTGGAGCAGCTCACGCTCATGAGGGCCGCGCGCCCCGCCACCGGCGCTGAGGAGACAGAGCTCCGGGCCCCCAAGGAGGAGCAGAGGATCAATGCTGTTCAACAATCGGTTCCAGCGGTGAGAAGGACGCGTCCGCCCCGCCGCCCCGTGCCGGGAGCGGTCCCCACATCCCGCCCCTCGCGCGCGGTTCCGCTCCCCATCTGAGTCCATCCCGGTGATCCCCCGCCCTGGCCAGGACCAGTTCCCGGGGGTCTTCCCGCCTTGCAGTCCCGGGCGATCCCCTTCCTCCCGGGAGCTCGCGCCTGACCCAGGTGCCCCGCGATCTCTGCACCCGGACCCCGCGCCTGTCCTCTTTCCCCGGATCTCCTTGCTATTCTGTCCCTTTCTCGAACGATCCCCATCCCCTTACCGCCCCCGAGTCCTCCGACCCGGGCTTTGGCCTCCATCCTTCTGCCTCCGGGGTAGGGTCTCCCTGGGCGGGTGGGCGGAACAGGAGTCGCTGCTGCGCCCTGTAGAAAGATTTGTCGTAAAGCCGGGGAGGGAGTGGCATGGGAATTTTAGATGCTTTGTGTGTGACCTGCCCTAGCAATAGGGAAACTGAGGCACGCTCACCGGGTCCAGCCTTGCCTGCAGGTGTCGGTGCCCAGCTAGTTCTCGGACTTAGGGTGCCTGGGTGATGCTATTTTGGGCTCTGGGAAAGGGGCACGTTAGCATTCGGGTGCGGAGACCTGCAGTTGAGATGCCTGGGTTAGAAAATGAGGAGGAGGAGGAGGAGGAACCTTGGAGGCGCTACCGGAAGACAGGTCTGCTGCTCTTCCCTGGAGAGCTGGTGTGAACGCCAGGCTGCAAGGGTACCCTGGCCCTTCCACTCCCCCGGGTGTCTGCCCTCCAGCAATGAATGGAAGCTACTGGCCTCCGGCTCCCAGAGGAAGCTTTGGGTTTTTCTGTTTCGACTAAGTGGGTGAAAGTTCACCGGTCGTGTGTTGTGGTAACTCCATCCCTTTTGTCTGAGCGAGGCAGCCCCGGTTTGAGCACTGCCCCTCATCCCTTCCCAGATCTTCACCACCAGCAGGAGAGCTTAGTGTGCAGTGCTGGGGAGTCAGAAAGAAGAAAAGCACCTCGGAAGACCGAGGAGGTTATTGTTGAGTTTTAAGGCACTGCCCTTTTCTTTCAAAAATTTGAAGTGCACGTTTTTTTTCTTTCCATTGTGTGTATCTCATTCCTTGCCCAGTCCTTTACTTCAAAGGAGTCAACAAATACACAGGAAGAGTTGTGGTCTGTGCCATTAGGAGGGGGATCAGTGTGAAGAATTGGATTGATTTCTGAGTATTGCTCATCGTTCGGATGTTGAATGCCTGGCACTATTCCCCAAAGCGGGAACTACATATCAATGCTTCTAATAGCAAAAAGAATCCTAGGTGTTCTGGCTTTAGAATCTAAGGTCAGGAGTGAAGACAGGAGGGGGTTTAAGGGAGAATATAAAATTAGTTCAGGCATGATCGGTGAAGCCCTGTTCATGTGGTTTGTTTGATTTGGTTTTACTTGTCTGCATGTCTGTGTTCTTCCTGTTTTCAGAGAACCATGGCTATGTTCTGTGAAATTACCCCTTCCCTGTTTAAGAGTTTGTATGTCTCGTCTGTCTACCCCTTTGAATTTTTCTATAAAAAGAAGAAACAATGCCCTAGCAAGTATGAGATGCTGAGTTCAAACCCCAGTACCGCCAAAAGAGAAAGACCTGTTTTTTTTTTTTTGTACAAACATAAAACGGTGCTAAAGGGGGGGAGACCTTCATGTAGGCTCCTACCATTTCAGCTGATTGAACTATCTTTAGGCTGAACAATAATCTGTCTCGTCCTTATTAGCCCTGTTATTATGCAATTCTGGTCCCTTTAGCCATCTACAAATTAAAAATACAGGGACTGAAGGGGTGACTCAAGCAGTAGAGCACCTGCTTTATAAATGGGAAGCTCTAAGTTCAAACTCCAGTTCCACATTCCACCACCACCCCCCAAAAAAATAAATAACAGGCATTTTCTTTTGGTGTAGCAAAGACTGTAATTTTCTCAGTGACTGCATATTATTACACTTCATGGTTATTTAAGTTTATTTCTTGATGAAATCTACCTCTATACTGATTTTGTTTGAAGATTTGAGTGATCTCATAATTTCCTGTTTCTTTATTATAGGCTAGATTGGAAAGCTATTTCTAAGCATCAATTTGAACTTGGAAATGAAAGCTGCAAATAAAAAATAATATAACAAAAAAGTCCTAATTTTTGTGGTTGACACATTAAAATATTGAAAATACTGTTCTACATCTTTAAAAACTATGTTCATTACACATCTTTTACCACAGTTACAGGTAGGTAAATTACACAGGGACATACTGTCTTCAAACTGATGTGCTCTTTTCTTGGTAGATCTAGACTCAGTTGAGGAGCTTTTGATTGCAGTAAAAACATTTCATTAAACCATAGTTTGTAGCTATGCCTAAATTACCTGAACACCTTGCTGGTTTGTTCATAATAGAAGCTTGGTGGTTATTGTGGCTTTGGATCAGCTTCCAGAGTTCTGCCATTTCTACCTAGTGAAGGCCCTGAAGAAACAACCTGCTGTCCTAAATAAAAGACTTTATGCAATCACGGCTTCTCATAAGGGTTAAGATATGAAAAATTCCAAGGGGGACATAGGGAGCGTATTTTCTGTCTTGCTTTATCTCTTTCACAGTGAGTCTCCCAGGACACCTAAACACTGGTGCATGCAACACATCATTCTTTTCATACCATCTCTGACTGATGGTAATAGCTGCTAACATTTATTGAGTGCCTATTTGTGCCAGGCACTGAGTACTTATATATTACGCATCTCATGCTCAATCATAGCCCAGGAAGACAAATTTTATGCCTACTTAATAGAAGAGCAAATAGATTTAGAGAATAACAGGGTACTTGCCCATAGTCACACAGCTAGGAAGGGAAGACTCAAGAATTCAGTTTCATGTCTCTTATTTCTCTCCCCACACCACAACAAAGAAGAGTGCTCTCTTGCTCAGTCCCAGCCTTGTTGACTGCTGGCTGGCTTCAAAGTAGAATGTATGGGAAAGAATCTTACTCTAAAACCTTAGGAAGTAATCCAGGACTGCCTGCTTGCTTGCTGTCTGATTTGCGTGTTCTTAGAGCATTGAATTGTAGGGATGGGATGGTCCCCTTATAGATGCCTTCTCCATTTAGTAAGTAAGTTAAGTACCACTACTGACATGATGCCCTTAAGTACAGGGTCAACTTAAGTTGTAATGTCAAATGATGTTGAAGGGGGCCCTTGAATTTTCATTGTCTTGACCTCTGAGTTTTCTTTTCAAGAGATTCTTTTGATTCTAAGACTGCCTGTTTTTCTTAACATATAGAACCTGCTGAATCCCCAATAAAACCAAATTGGCTGAATTACCTCTTGGTTAAAATAATTCAGCAATAGCTGAAATGTGTCTTTTTATTCATCCATTCAACAGTTACTAAGCTTCAACAATAAGCTGGGCATTGTACTTAGAACTGGAAATGAAATGGTGAAGAAGACAGCCTTTGTGGAATTTATATTTCAGTGGGGAAAGATGAAATAAATAAGTTTAAAAATCAGATTGTTTGTTACTACTTATGGTAAGGGCCCCAGTTGGGTAAGAAGGGCTGAAGTGACACTTAGGCAAGATGGTCTAGAAATTTTTTCTTAGCAAGTGACATTTTAGTTAAGCTTGAAGGATAAGAAGAATGCTGAGCATGCTGGGGAAGAATGTGCTAGGCAGAAATAAACAGCCAATGCCCTGAGGCAGACAAGACCTTGGTGTACGGGAGGAGCCAAAAGGAGGTAGTGGAGCTAGAGGGTGGGTGACAGGAAGGTGGTACCTGGAGGCTGGAGGAGCAGTGAGAGCCAAACCACTGTGGGGCTTATAGGCCAGGAGTGTATTACAATTGTTACCCTAAGTGCTTTGGGGAAGCCAAAGTCAGGTTTTAAGTTAATGTAGAGATGTACAACATAATCTGGTTTTGATTGACCTTTGTGACTGCTGTATAAAGAAGAGAGTCTGTGTGGGCCCAAGCAACAAGGCCAATTAAGAGACTTAAGATGTTGGTGTCTTGATTTAAGGTAGGATCTGTGGAGTTGTAGAGGTGGACTGCTTTGGAATATATTTTGAAGGTAGTGTTGACAGTACTTGCACTTGGAGAATGAGGAACAGAGGACTCAAAGACAACCTGTAGGATTTGATCTTAGGCCTCTGAGCTCTGCTGGTAGGTTGTAGACCTGCTTTCTGAGGAGCAGTGCTTTGGGTTGAATTTAGTGTGTTAGTAGTGTATTGAGGCTGTCCCTAACTGTTCTTTCCCTCCATAGTTCTGGGTGTTGGGTACATAAGAACACTGGCCAAGCATGGGGCAGGAGAGAATGTTGAAAGAGAAAAAGGTGAGGCAAAAAATGAACAAACCCTACTTAACTACCTGCTTTATTAAATGTGGTTCTGATTTTCAAGACTAAATCACCTAGACCTTCTATACCATGCTGGCTACTCTACTTAGGCATTGGGTAGCCACCATTAGGTTACTCCACATTAAACAAATGCCTTGACATAAATGGATGCCATCTTGTCTTTTATAACACTGGAGTTTTTCTCATTTTTTTTTGAGGGAAGAGACTAGCTCAGAGTGTGGGAGTTTATTTGCATTTTATATCTGCTTTTTCCATTTAGGTCTCAGGAATGATTTCTTCAGAAGGCTATGGAGGAGGCTTGATTATACCTTGACAGATTGAGAGAGATGGAAAAATTGTCTTATCATTTCCAACCAGAACAATTGTGCTGTCTATCCCACTGAGCCCCAGACAGAAATGCTCCTAGGATGGTTGCTCTTATCATTCCTATTTCCTGACTCTTGACCTATCCATCAGTGATTGCTTAGGTTATGAGAGGGGGCATTTTTCTGTATAATTTATCACTTTATTTTTAATCTGAATTATCCCTGGTGGGCAAGGACTAAGCTATCACAAACATGGCTACCCAGCTTCTTTCCTTGTAAGAGAAAATGTGAAAGTCTATCCTTGTTGCTGTGTAATGGCCTGACTATTTTTAGATTGGACTGCCAGAGATATAAATTGCTATTTTTGTCTGCAGCCTGCTGGTGGGTAGACAAATCCTACATACTGCACCCTACACAGAACATTTTCAGTTTCATTTAACTTCAACCATTTTGGAGTCTCACTCTCTGCCTTTTGAAATTCCTATTAGGAATGTCTCAGGATAATGATGTGGTAGGTCCTTCAAGGCTTGGGACACATTTAAAACACTCTTCTCAAGAGAGTAATTATTTTTCTTTATACTAATAAAAGCTGTATAGCAACAGTCTTGTCCCTTAGGAAATTAGTAAAATAATTTAAGGGATTATCAAGGGAGAAAAGAGATTGCTTGAAAGTATTCATGTGTTAGAGTAATTTGGATAAAGTCTAAACCTGCTAGCTATATATTTCTCTAAACAGTTTTTAAGCCATTTGCTTACTCTGTAAGTACATATTTTGCACACTAATTAAATATACAACATATTGGCAGTCCAAGTGAAATATCTTTACCTAATTCATCCTGTAGTAGATGTTCCACCTGAGCTATGTGTATGGCATTAATAGAAACTGCTATCTTATTTCTTTTTATTTGATCTAAGGATATCAGGCTCTTAATAAGTGAAAAAGTATTTGTCAAAAACTAGACACTGTTTAGAATGGCTTAGTCATACATTTTAGCCATTTTTGGGAAACTTTGCCATTTGGTTAGCCTGGTATCATTTTTCATCATATGAATGAATAATGGGTGACTAGTCAGAACTTGTTAGTGTTCTCCCAAACTAGCCTGAGCTAAAGGATAATTTAGTGTACAAATCCTGTTAGCAGAATAGGCCTTTGAACCCTGAATGCTGTCAGGATTGTTGTACCCTGTTTTGTTTCTCTACATCTGCTTCTTTGGTCTTTTATTTTCCTCCTGAGACCAGTCAGAATAATCTAGACTGCCTCATGATGCAGGTGTGGGGGGCATCCTCACCTTCATGCTGAAATAGAGTACAATCATCTCTTTCTGTCCTGTGGTATTTATGTTTACATTCTATTGCTGATTGTGATAAAGTTAGCCTAAGGAGAAGTATGGGATATGAGCATATGTCTGAATCGGTAACAGTCTTTAATATTTAGATATGTCAATTTTATAGCCAGCATATCAAGTAGCAGTCACGAGTTTGGTTTTTTGAAGCTGTTTTCAATTTAGGAGGAATGAAAGTGGAAATGTACCTCCTTGTTTAGGTGGTATCATTAGCCAGGTATCATTTAAACTGTCTGGTGCCTGAGCAGGTAATACAATAGAGAGAAACTAGTTGGACAGGCCTATTAATCGTGGGATGCAAGGTTTAAAGATCTCCATACATAAAGCTTCATACTTTCTGAGAGAAAAAATAGAAACCTTTTTAATGGTTTTGGTTTTCTTCCCGTAACTAGGTATTTTCACCAGTGACATCTTTATTTAGAATGGACCAAACAAGTACTTCAAGCTCCCCATTGTTTTTTACATGCTTTAAACTTTTCTCACAGGATGGTTTTTTTGTTTCTACAGTTTCATGAACCATCGGGCTCCAGCCAATGGCCGCTACAAACCAACTTGCTATGAACATGCTGCTAACTGTTACACACATGCAGTGAGTACACATTTTCTGCTATTGCTTTCCTTTCCACAGGGTTTAGGGAGGAAGGAGTAATTATTTCTTGTAACCTCAACAGAAGTAGTTGGATTTTCCCATCTCTGTGACCTTCGCTACCTGGATGTTTGTGCGAGGTCCTGTCATTAGAACAGAGCATTGTGGAATGCTTTGTATGTTATAACATACTGTCTGCTCTGTCCTGGACTTGTTTTCCCTGACAGTCTTCTTTAAAAGAATAACAAGTACCCTAGTTATAAGACAACCAATGAAATTTGTTTATAAAGACGGTTACCCTGAAATGAAAAGAATTACCTTTTTAAGATAGCTTCTGTGCTCATTTGGTAAGGAGAATTCATAATTTGTTGAAAAAGTTTTTGTTTTTTTTTAACCAAGTGATCCTCTGAAAAGAAGACCTGTATCTGCCCACCCCATATAGACATTGTTTCTCAAAGTAGATATTAGTCCGTACTGCTGAAGAAAAGGTTCATGTGATTCCTAAGTTCTTGATTAATATTTTTCTTCCTTATAAAGGCAAAGCATGTTCATTATAAAAAACCCAAAAATACTGAAAAATGTATAAGAAAAACAAAATGACTCAGAAATAAACTGTTAATACCTTGGAGTATTTCTCCCTTTTGTGTATGTGTGGTGTGACATTATATATTTTCATAGCTTTCTTAGTAATATCATAATTGGCATTTTCTTATGTCATTGTAAATTTCACTTTATCTGGTTTTATTATTCCCTTTGCAAATTACATTTTGTGAGAGTTTTGAGGAGAAAATGGTGGCTGGGCTACAGTCTGAAAATAAGAAATAGAGAAGATGACTGATTTACTCCTTTCATGACTAGTGTTTAGAAGAGGCTAGTTTAACTATCATGGACAGTATTGGGACAGTACAGTGTTTTGGCTATTGAGATACACAGCTCAGCTTCAGTAATAATACTTGTTTAGGATGCACCTGAATCCTCCTTAACTTACCTCTTTTGAACATATTACAAGTTAAGGAACAGTATATAAATTGAAGCTAAGAAAAAACTGACAGACTCCATGCTAATTTTTTAGAACAGAAAGTGTAATCTTATTAGACTATATCCCAGATTTTTGGATTTTAGAGACAGTGAAATTTCTAAAACAGACAGAAAACTTCTGTCTTCATTAAAGAGAAGATACTTTAACACAAAAAGAGTAGAAAGGATATAATCTCAAAATTTAAAGACATTTCTTTAAATCAAGTAAGTTTTGTTTTACAGAAAACTTACATTATTATCATTATTGTTCTTACTTTGTTCTGAGTTAATGAAAACTTCAAGCATCTGATATTGAAATCTGTGTTTATGTTATACAGTATGAAATATGTATGACGCAGTAATAAAAATTCTAAGATTGTGGGGCTGGAGGCATAGCTCAAGTGGTATGTCTAGAAAGTACAAGGCTCCAAGTTCAAGTCCTAATACTTCCAAAAAAATTTTTTTTAAGGGCTGGAGGTGGCTCTGATGGTAGAGCACTTGCTTTGCAAGCACAAAGCCCTGAGTTCAAACTTCAGTCACACCAAAAAAAATTTTTTTTTTTTAATTTTGGTTTCTTAGTTTTTTTAAAGGTGGGCCTTGGGAATAGATTATTCTTGCTACTTAAAAGGTACTATTAAAAATTAAGTATCCCCAAAAAATCTTTTTGCCTAGCAGTAGTTCCCAGATTGGTAAAATGAACTGATCCAAAGTGAAAATCAGGACAAAGGACTTCAATTGATTTTGTATGTGGTATTTTGTACATTACAATATTACTGACTTGATTCATTCAGTTACCTTTGCTGAAATACTAGAATTTTAGTAGCTCATGGGGGCAGCAGGATAGAACTGTTGAAAATCAGTACCTCTCTGTGAAATCTTTGTCTATAGATTAGAGAGTAGAATGAAATGCACCCTTGTTTAATGAAATTAGGATAAAGAACAGCTGTTTTGCAGTGGTTGAGTAACATTGCATCTTTGCCTATTGGTACCCATTCGCTGACACAGTTCCTGGACCCTGAAGAGCAGCACCTGCTTGCAGTGCAGCAAATAGCAACTTCATTTGATTCTCATAATGATTATCCATGAGAGGCAAATGTTTTGTTTTGTTTTTAAAAATTTTTTTTTGGCGGAACTCGTGTTTGAACTCAGGATGTCATACTTGCTAAGCAGTAGGTTTACTATTTGAGCCATGCCACTAGCCTGAAGCAAATGTTCTAAAATTATTTTTCTAACTTGTTCCTGGTAAATCTCTGCATTTTAATTTAAATTCTCAGACCATAGAAACCAAGATACTTACTTCTCTTTACCTTTCTCCCAGTTCCTCATTGTTCCGGCCATTGTGGGCAGTGCTCTCCTCCATCGGCTGTCTGATGACTGCTGGGAAAAGATAACAGCATGGATTTATGGAATGGGCCTCTGTGCCCTCTTCATTGTTTCCACAGTATTTCACATTGTATCATGGAAAAAGAGCCACTTAAGGTACACTCTTTCAACAGCTCAAAATAGTTGACTCAGCAGCATGTTGGTAACTCTCAAACTCTTATGTTTCAGTCAGGTGGAGAAAAGAGTAGACATTTTCCTGCCTTCTTTGTAGACATTAATGCTGTTCCATAATTCAAGGATCTTTGGGTTGGACAGCATTTGATGACCCCTCCACCATCATATACGTCTTGGAAAGCAAGCCTGCCTAAGTAACTGCTACCATTACCTCTCTAGTTCCCCAAGACATAGAACTTAAAATCCTGAGAGCTGTTTTCCAGTTCTATCAAGTGCACTGAGGATACTGTCAGAGAGCAGTAGCTGTGGGTTAGTGACATAGCATACTGAATTTGGAGCAAGCAAGTGGGCTTTGCATCCCAGTACTGCTGCTTCACCCTGAGTAAGTCATTCGACCTCATGGACTCTCAGTTTCTTCATCACTAAAATGAGGATTATAATGCCTGATTCATAAGGTTATTGGATAAATTAATAAGATAATATATGTGAAAATAATTTGAAAATTACACAAGAACATATGACTGTTACATAAGGAACTATGTTACAGTTGAGTTTTTAGAATGAAGCTGAGCTTTTAGAATGAAGCTCTATGTATATTATTCAAAATTCATATATTTTAGTTGGGCAGGTACACACACTTATAATCCCAGCACTTGGGAGGCTGAGGTAGGAGGATCAAGAGTTCTGGGCTAACCTAGGCTGCCTATCAAAACTTTGTTCAAAAACAAAAAAAAAAAACTAGACAAATAACATTAATATGTTTTGCTGTTATTCACTGTGGAGCACTTTATAACCCTTGGCCTACCAACAGGAAAACATGATAGACATATAAACATTCCTCCTGTAAAAACAAACAACAACAAAAATCCATTCTTCTTCTGTAATACAGTATACCATTTAGGTGGGAATGAGTTGCTTGCAAAATACAATCTGAAATAATATAATAGATTAACCCAAAAAAACAAAATTTTTTCTAAAAAATGGAAGAGTCAGCAGATGAACAGTGACTTAAATTAATACTTGAAAATACATTTTGGGTTTTCTATTGTGGTGCCCACCTTTAATCCCAGCACTTGGGAGGCAGATGCATGAGGACCTCAAGTTGAAAGCCAGCCTAGGCTACGTAAGCTAGACTTTGCCTCAAAAACAAAACCAAAAAAAGCTAAAAAACAAAAAACAAAACCCAAAAAACAGGACTGCGGTGTAGCTGAAGTGGGAGAGCACTTGCCTAGCAAGCAAGAGGCCCTGAGATCAATCCTAAGAAATCCTGCCAAAAACAACCCTTTTTTTGGTTTTGTAGAATGTCAAAAATAATCTCAAGCTATTAAAGTAATGTAATATTATAAAAAAGCCAGGCACTGTGACTCACACCTGTAATCCTAACTACTCAGGGGGCAGGGATCAGAAAGAGTGCAGCTTGAGGGCAGCAAGGGCAAAAGTTCAGCTCAACCAATGACAGGCTGGGCATGGTGGTGCAAACCTGCCATTCTAGCTCTGTGGGAAGCATAAATAGAAGAATCGTTGTCTAGGTTGGTAAATGCAAGACCCTATCTCAAAAGTAACCTAAGCAAAATGGCCTAGAGGCATGGCTCAAGTGGTAGAGCATCTCCCTAGCAAGCTCAAGGCTCTGAGTTCAAACCCCAGCACCACCAAAGAAAAAAAAGATATGCTTCATTTACAAACAGTATTTGGGATTTATGAGATAGTTACTGGTTTCATCACATATAGAATCATGGAGTTTTAAAGATGGAATGATAGTTAAAGATCTCTAATCCATACCTTTTAATTTCCAGTTGGGGAAACTGAGACTCAGAGAAGTGACCTGACTTGCCTGAGTCAGTGAGACCAGCAGAATCAGATTATCCCATGACCTCTGCCTCTTAGCCCTGTGTTTTTTTTTCAATATTCCATAAAGTTTTCAGTCTGCTTCCCTTTCCTGTAAGGTGACAGTTCTTGGGCTTAAAATAAAACCATAGCATTGAATCACAAGGACACTCTGGGACACACTCACAAGAAAGCCACAAAAGTACCTATCTTGGCTCTCAGACACACTGTTGCAAGACCCAGAGGCCCATCTTGAAACAGATCACTTCATTATCTTCTTGGCACAGTCCTATGCTTGTGGTTGCCTCAGCAGTCTTGGCTTTAATGTCTAGATTTCTGAATCAATAAAGAGTTGTAGATGCCTCCTTCAGTATTCAGGGCCTCCCTGGCAGGAACTGGAGAAGAAAGTATAATAGAAACATGACTCTTGAACCCTGAAAGAGCATTGCTAGAATCATAAGCTGAATGTAGATTTTTGCTTTGCATTAAATATCCAATTAAAGCATTAATTTAAGAAGAGAGAAGGAAAATAGCATTTATTGAGTGTGCTAGGTACTGTGCTAAATATATGGCCAATGCATAGCTAAATACATGTGATAATAAACTATCATGCTTAATGCTCTACAGACTATATGAGATAATAATTACATTTTACTTATGAGGATGAGAGTCAGAGATGAATGACAGAGCTTGCATATTATTCTAAGGCTGATTACCTGTTCTAATGATGTTCAACAGTCTAGAAAGCATTAGAAAGGGCCCAACCCTTTATAGGAATCACAATCATTCCAGAAGTTTAAAAGACAAAGCAAATATTCTTTTCCTCTTTCAACCCCCTATACCATCTTCCAGCCCTTTTTAAAGTAGAATCTTCTGGCCTGGAGTCCATGGCTAAATTTTACAAACTCCCAGGTGACTGTAATATGTAGTCAGGTTTGAGAAGCATCAATTGAGTGTTTGCTTCTTGAAAAGTGACCTAAATTACTATCTGGGGTAAGTTGTAGCTTCTGACTCGTAGACTAGAAGCCATTCTTTCTCACAAATGTATTTTTCACCTCTTTCACACACAAATCCTCATCAGTCTGCTTTGGACAGCACTGTGTGTGTCATGAGACAAAGCATTATACTGATGCTCCACCAAACCATAGCTGTTACTCCTTGGAAACTGAAAGTAGATTCAAGACAATACAATGTGTTTGTACTTTTTAATCAACTTGGTAAAGGGCAGATTCTGTCTAATCCATTGAGTGAATACAGCCAGATCTTTGTACTTACACTTCCTGACTTTTTTGATTTTGGAAGGAGTCACTTCCTTAGAAATTGCTACTCTTCCAGCAATTGCACCTTTTTGTTTGCTTTTGTTATTGTTGTTGCTAAATTACTGAATTTCCTTTATCACAACTTATTGTCTACACTCAGGTTATTTAAAGTGAAAGCTTATTAAAGGCATTCTAAAAAAATAAGAATGTGACCATCAGTTCAGGAAGTGTTCACTAGACACTAGGACTTTGTGCCCTGCGCTGTGATAGGAACTAGAGGGTGGTCTAACTTCAAGGAATTTCATCTTTTTGTTAAATAGGATCTAAATAAATGGAAAATATCAGAACAAACATTGTGTTTGTTTTGACCACTTTAGATTTTCTAACTATCATGGGGTTCCATTCCTTTGTCTTATCCATAGTAAGAATATCTTACTGTGTGCAACCTAAAAAATATATGAAGTGTTTATTTGTGGCTTCATATTATTAAAGAGGAACGCTGTGGTTCTGAAGGGCAAGTTGTAAATGCCATGAGGAACTAGAACAAGAATGGAAATTGTGACATAGTATAGCAATAATCCATATTTCCAGTCTGAAAATTTGTTGAGAACTGTGTCTAACTTGCTTATCTCTCCTCCACCCCCACCACAGGACAGTGGAGCACTGTTTTCACATGTGTGATAGGATGGTTATCTATTTCTTCATTGCTGCTTCTTACGCTCCGTGGTAAGATATAATCCTTCTGTTCTTAAAGACTGTTTTTATGACTAGAATTCTTTATCTTTCCTCTCTTCCTCCCGCTCCTGCCCCCAGCCCTCATGCATGCACCCACTCCTCTTCCCAGCCCTCATGCATGCACCCGCTCCTCTTCCCAACACATACATTCTTAGATTTTTTTTTTTTAACAATTTTATTTATTTGGTTCAGATTATAGATTTGAAGGAGGAGGAAGAATATTGCTGCTGTTCAGAACAAATAGCTAGGAATTAGATTGTTGCAAGAGGAAGTGCTATGAACTTGTGTGTAGGTAGCAGGCTTAATTTTGAAATATATAAAAAAAACTTTGCCTTCCATATTCTTTCCATATATCTCTGCTGCTTTTCAGAAAACATAAAAATTGAATTCTTCACATGGAAATGATATAAATATGTATAAGAAAGTCAAATCTCTTTTTGAAACATACACTGTTTATCTTCAATTCACTTCCCAGCATAATAGCTACTATATACTGGCACATTTCTCATTTCTTTTGTTTTCTGAATAAGCGAACTAACCAAATTAATTAGCTGTTTAAAATGTGTGGAATTGGTCAGAGTCCTTTATCTTGTTACCCTTTTGGTACTGATCAAATACAATATTTTGTGCTTTGAAATCTGTAATTAAAGAAACATTAGTTTTCCTTTATTAAGAAAGACATAGTAAGCCTGGTGCCTGTGGCTCACGTCTGTAATCCTAGCTAATCAGGAGGCAGAGATTAAGAGGATCGTAGTTCGAAGCCAGCCTGGGCAAATAGTTCATGAGACCCTATTTCGAAAATACCCTTCAAATAAAAAGTCTGGTGGAGTGGCTCAAATTGTAGGCCCTGAGTTCAAACCCCAGTACCAAAAAGAAAGAGAGAGAAGAAGGGAGGGAAGGAGAGAAGGAGGGAGGGAAGGAAGGGAGACATGGTCTAGTTTTAAAGAAAGAAAAAGAAGGAAGAAATAAACATATGGTCTAGATTTAAACATTCAGAAGTTCATATTATGCCATCAGCTACTGTAGTCATTGGAAATAGCAGGCCTGTAGGTTCTGGCTAATGCACTCTCAGTCATTCAAAGGAAATATAATTACCTGTTAAAGTAAAAAGTAGGTGCCAGCTTTCCCAACTCCGCTTACTAAATTATAGGTCTCATTCATATTGGAGCAGGAACACTTAAAAGCTTTTGTGAAGTACATTTCAATATAAAACATAAATAAGTTAAATGTGAACTGAGGAATCAAATATCAAAGAGGTAATTTGCTTGTACCTTTTTCATTTAGAAATAATTAATTTTGTAGTTATAGCCAACCAGAACATTTGGGCTTTTTTCATATTTAATATAAAATTAGTACAAATGAATTTACAGCATTTTAAAATTCAGACCTCACAACAATCCATGGTTAAATTCTAACAAAATGTCTTCTCTAACACATGTTGGGATAATTCTTCTCAAGTTCTGTCTTGGCAGAGAGGTTGCTAATGGAAATATGGCCTAGGTATTAGGCATCTGCTGTGGGTCTGTGATCCTGGTTCAGGAATTTTGTTCATGGTTTTCATTAAGCTTTGTAAGCAGTCTGTTCCCAAATACATGCTCAGAATTAAAAAGGCAAGCAGTCTTTACCTCAGCCTACCCTGCCAGGGAAAGCTGGGCACCACAGGTATGCTGGGACTCTTTTCTACATGTCTGTTCTTAGCTGGTTCTATTTTTAAACCATGCTGGACTAATTCTAAGCATTAAAGGCTGACTGACAAGTTTATCTTTGAGTAATTAATTTTACTCAAATTGCCCAAATGCCTCCTTGTTGTGTTGAGTGCCTTTTTTTCCTGCTCTTACCCTGGTATTTTCTGTTTTCACTGACTAGAGAGAAACGTGGATTCTGTGAATTCCCTTCATTTATCCCTTCTGTTCTTTGTTGTCATGTTTACATTTGTAGGTTAAATCTCCGTGAACTTGGACCCCTGGCATCTCATATGCGTTGGTTTATCTGGCTCATGGCAGCTGGAGGAACCATTTATGTATTTCTCTACCATGAAAAGTAAGAAAAAAATAATTTACATTTGCTAATGTTACAATTAACTGCCTAAATTTTACTTAAACTGCAGTGCAATTTCCTTTATGTTTATATTTCAAAATAGTAGAAATACATAAATAGAATATGTATTGCTTTTATGATCTTTAAAACCTTTTGGCATTCGTTGTTGGTAGATTGCTGTGGGAAGATAGGAGTGGCACATTTGTGGCATGGTGCAGTTGAGGGAAAAACTGGTCAGCCATTTTGAAGTCACTCAGAGTTCATGTCTCCTCTTGAGGCAAACTAGCCTTACCCCTGTGATTTACAGTGATCACATAAAGAAAATAACCCTTTCAAGGTTTCTTTTAAAGTTGAAGATAACAGATACACTAAGTGCCAGAACAGCACTTACCTAGATGGGAACCTAGAGGGTATTCACAATAGGCTTTCCTGAGAAAAAGACCATTTGAAAGAACACAAACCCTTAATATCCTACCCCCAAGGCACAGGTTTTTAACCCCTTCTTCATAACTCATAATCACAAGTGTTGCAATATCAAAGAAAGGCTTATTAAAATTTATTATTGGGGCATCCACTTCCATTTCATGGTTAAAGGCTGAGAACATTTAGGACATGCATCAGATATGTAATTCATCTGGTTCCTGTTCCATAGCTCTTTTCATTATCTCATATGCTTGATTCTAAGAAATTCACAGCCCATGAAATCATTGTCATTGGATTTATTAATTCACAGCTCCTTAAATTCTTTATTGTAGTTGGCAGGATGGCTCTCAGAATTGACATAGTTTGTGTTTTGTGAGAATATTGAATTGTTTGCTCCTGTAAGAAGAAAATGGTAGTTTTCACTAATTTCTCTCTAACTTTGAGTTTCACTTAAATCCCTTTGACCATAATTGCCAATGTCAAGTGGTGTTATGTGGTACATATAAATCCAAGGGAACAGTTTGCTTCTCGGGCTCAAATCTCTAAATTATATCCTTGGGTACAATAAGAAGTATAAAGTAAGACAGCCGTCATTTCTCCTATTGTGGGCCTTGTGTAAACCAAACCCTCAACCTGTTCTTCACTTGGTAGTTACTTTGTGGATGAAGTGTGAGTCACTTTTGGCCTTTCAGTTTGGCAGACGTTAGGAAGTACTAAACTGTATTGTTGTAGGCCCTGCAAACCCAAACAAATAAAACTTGATCCTTGCCTTTGATGAGCTTGCAGTCTAGTTTGATCAGGCAGAAATGTAAGTTGAATTTTAATACAGTGTGTTTTCAGGTACTCTGTAGCCTAATGTGTTGAGCCTTAGAAATTGGAATTTGTACAAATGCAAAATGAAAAGACAATCAAGATATATGCCCTTTCTTCAGGGTTATTGTTCTTCTGTTCCTGGTAAACTAAAATGTCTTCATCATTTTATTTCTTCATAGTTCTGGATTGGTGATGAAGACAAACACTCTGGGATTAGAAAAGGGAAGACATAGAGTAGATGGGATTAAAATATGACTACTTAGGCAGAAAATATTTTCTAGATAGCCTATGGAATGTGAAGCCTTTTCAGTTCTAAAAAATTCTAGTTTGTTGTTACTCAATTAGGGTATGTTACTTAGAGGCTTCATGGCTTCCTGTTGGGAATTGCATTTCATTTGAATCCTGAGGAGGTTACATTTCTCTTTCAAAATAAAAAAGGAAAAGCTGGTATGTAAATGAACTAGTGTTAGATATGTATAAATCAAATTAACTGTGTTTCTGTTCTTGCAGGTATAAAGTGGTTGAGCTTTTTTTCTATCTGACAATGGGATTTTCTCCAGCCTTGGTGGTGACATCAATGGTGAGAAACAGCTTCATAATTTTAGTTATATCCCTTTTTAAATCACTGGGGCTCTTAATGATTATAGATGCAATACGTAGTTTTCCTTTTTGATGTTATGACATGTCCATTAGAGAGACTTAAAAGAAAAAATATAAGTATATTTGTATATTTCATGCTTTGCAGGTGTGAAGCGCTGAGTTTAAACCCCAATCCCACCAGAAAAGAAAAACAAACAAACAATTAGAAGTATCTTAAGAGGTCATTGTAGCTGGGCATGGTGGTACACATCTATAATCCCAACACTGGGGAGGCTAAGGCATAGGATTATGAGTTTGAGACCAGTTTATGCTACATAGTAAGACCTTGTCTCAAAACCAAAAAAAGGGCTGGGAGCTTAGCAAGCTCAAGGTCCTGAGTTCAAACCTTAGTATAAGAAAAAAAAAGTCAAAAACCAAAAATAAATAAATGTATGTCATTTGCTTCAACATCCTGTTGGATATTTTTCAGATCCCTCCATGTTATTTTTTTCTTTCACATGCTTTTAAGTGACATTATTTCTCTTTCCAAAGAAAGTGCTTTCTTGCTTTTTTTTTTGACATGGCTTGAAATATCTTTTCAGTGGTATAAGTATTACATTACTCAAGTAGAGGCATGTGTATATTTTGAATTCCCTTTCACACTGAATTATTGTGTAGATGTAGAAATTTGTGTGTCTGTTACTTTGAAATAAAACAAAAATACATGTTACAGTCTCAGTCTAATCCAGCTGGTTACTTGTACTTGTAGTTTATGTATGCTAGTGTCTTCAGCTCTTATGGCTTTTGGCATTAGCTACTATATTAAAGAGATCCAATTGTGTTTAGTTTGAACTTTCTTCTCTGCCTGCAGTGGTCTGAAGAACTATACCTGTGCTTTCACTCCTGAACTCATACGTTATTCTACTGTATATAGTGCTTGCCCTGTCACAAAAACACCTATTTGGGTTAAACCTGGTTCCGATTTGATATGAGGTTTATGGTGATTTAATAATTACATAGCACTAAAAATACAGAGTTTTCTTTGTAAAGGCAGCAGAGAGTGGTGAGGAGGAGGCAATGAATGAAATAAGAATATTGGTCATGATAGCCATATAGTTAGAGGGCAATTCAGGATACCCAGGGCAGTATAAGCAGAGTCTATGTATATGTTACTAATTATATGTATAGGTTACTAATTATTAGAGCAGAGTTTCAAGCAAATTCCCTCTGGGTATTATAAAAGCAGGTTTATTCAGTATTCTTACTAGCCCAAGTCTTTAACTGGCATTTTCATAAGTGGAACAATAGCAGGTGACTAATATTTATGATAACCCAACAAGATAATCCTTACACTGCCATCAAATAACTTAGAATACATTAGGCAAATACAATTCATGTTCAATAAAGTGCTTTAATAAAATTTTATAATGTCTATGATTAGGGAAAGCTTAGGCTGCCATGGTAACCATAGAACAGAAGTACCAGATGAAGTAATAGTTAAGCTGATTAGAAAAGACAAGGAAGAGCCAAGAGATGGTTGAAGTGAGGCAAATGCAGTAGGCAGAGAATACAGCATGAAGGAAGCCTGGACCAGGAGAGTGCTTCTGCAATCTTTCAAGAATTAAAAATAGTTCATTGCTTGGAGTGTGGACTGAGTACACCTGTTTTGAGATGTACATATGCTTAGTGGGGTAGGTGTGTAGGTAGCACAAGTCTTATGATAAAGCTGGAAAGCTCGACAGTCCAAATCAAAAAGGACTGTGTAAGCCATCTGAACTAATAAAGTAACAGTAGGCGTGAAGACTCAACAGCTTTGCTTCTGGTTTGTTACGGATATCAGACTTAAACCTTCTGCCATAAAGAACTGGAAAAAGAATGAAAGCAGCTGTTTTTTGGCATCAAACATAGACACTACTGAACTCTGATCTTTCAGGAAAGAGAAACCAGAAACTGAGTTTTGAATTCTCCCCAGTTCTTTCCCTGGACACTTTCCAAATAACAACAAAAGGAATGAAGCCCAGAGAGCAGCAGTCTGCCTGAAGGAAACAGAAATCAGCATTGTAGGTAGCTGAGACAGCTGGAGTCCATGGGGCAGTAACCTGGAGAGCAGGGAGCTGCTGAGAGAAGCTACAAACATCCACAAAGGAGTTACCTTAACCAAACATCAAGCTGAATTTGGGCAGGACAAAACTCTGCAATCCTGGCCAAGAATAACTTGAAGGCCATGAGATAAATGGAGATTTCCAGAAAATCCTAGAGCTGGGAAACCTTGGATGTTCAGTCATCCCAAGTGGAGACACCATGTTGAACATCACAAGCATCACAAGCATTCAGTTGACCCTGCCAAAGTCATACCTTAAGAGCAGAGCTCCCGTAGTCCTATGTGTTAGTCACTTTTCATGGTTTTGACAAAATGCCTGACTTGAGGGAGGAAAGGTTTATTTTGGCTCATGGTTTCAGAGGTTTCAGTCCATAATCACTTGACTGCAATGCTTCTGGGTCTGTGTGTGAGGAGTCAGAGCATCATGGTAGGGAGCACATAGTGGAGCAGAGTGGCTCACCCCATGGCAGATGATGCACAAAGACAGCAAGGAAAGGACTGGAGATGATACACCCTTCAAAACCTTAAAAAACAAAACAGCCCAAAAGCTGGATGTGGTGATGCCTGCCTGTAATCCCAGCACTTGGGAGACTTAGGCAGGAGGATTGTGAGTTTGAGGCCAGCCTGGGCTACATAGTGAGACCCTGTCTCAAAAAGCAAAACAAAACTTAAACTATCTTCAAAGGAAAACCACAAAACCTACACTTTTTAACAAGTTGGTATCTACCATCTAGGTAAATATCTGTCAGGCAAGAAGCAGGAAAACATGACACATACCTAAGGCAAAACAGGCCAGGAGAAATAGATTCGAAGATGGTGGAGATGTTGAAATTTGCAAGGGTGTTGCAGCACAGTGAGTTAACAGATGAGGGATCCCAGAAAAGAAAGTGGGGACTACGAAAAGGAAACGAAATGGAAATTCTACATTTAAAAATTGCTGTCTTGAAGAAAAAAAATATATCAGAGAGGTTTAACAGATTGGTTACTGTAGAAGAAAAAGTGAATAAACTTGAAGTCAGGTCAATGGAAACTGTACAGATTGAAGCAGGAGAGGAAAAAGAGTGATTAAAAAGTGAACAGAGCTTTAGTAACCTGCAGGGCAACATCACATTGTGTATGAGGTGTAATAGAAATACCAGTTGAAACTTTCCCAGATTGGTTGAAAACCATCACCTACAGATCCACAAAGCACAGTGAAGCACAAGCTTGCCTGCCTGCCTGAGGAAGAAAGCATTTAAAGAGGAAGATGAGAACTGATGAGTGTACTTCATCAAAATGTACTTCCATTTCTAGCTGTGATTGCAGTCTGCTTGCTCACATAGAAATTGGGCAGAATGTGCTGGGTTGTCTTGTGGAGTCTAGAATGTGGACTGTTGGGTCAAACTAAGAGTACCAATACGACGAGTATTCCCTGTTGAGTAGGGAAGGCGTTTTTTTGCTTGCTTTATTTTTATAGATTAGGATTCTGTTCATGCTGAGCTGCTTATTGTCTAGAAAATCAGGAGGAGTCTTAGGGGAATTACAGTTAACTCTGTGGCTTGTCACACCAGAATAACATCAACCCCTTTTTTTTTCCCTCTGTTGACAGAACAACACTGATGGTCTTCATGAACTTGCATGTGGGGGCTTAATTTATTGCTTGGGAGTTGTGTTCTTCAAGAGCGATGGCATCATTCCATTTGCTCATGCTATCTGGCACCTGTTTGTGGCCACGGCAGCTGCAGTGCATTACTACGCCATTTGGAAGTACCTTTACCGCAGCCCCACGGACTTGATGCGACATTTATGACCAGTTTGTGCTGGGTCTCCAAGCCAGTATTAACTCAGTTGTGGCACTTGGGAGTTGGGTAAGAGTTGAAAGTTGCACAGGGGAAAAAAAAGAAGCAACTACACTGACTTTATTTATATTTTTTGAATAGAATTACTGTGAAAGTATAAAAGCTGTGTTCTGGAATTTTCCCCCTCACAGCAAATAAATAAGGTAGTGAATCAGTTATTCATTCCATTCCACTATCATGAAGGACTCTGGATAGACTTGGCCATATGATGTTTACAAACCAGAATTTTGTATTTTAATTTTACAGATTTTACTAGATGATTTTTCTAAATTACTAGGTCAGGTTGTAAAAGTCAGTGCAATAACAAAACTTCCTTTTTAAGAAAAAAATAATTGTTTCTATCACTTTCCCATTTACTGTGTGAAGAATCATGGACAGAACCTACACTACTTTTTACCATGTTTCATCTTGGCATAACATGGTTATTTTTTAAATGGAAACTTTAGGTTTTTGAAAATTTTTAAAAAATAATTCATTGAACTGCATCTCTAGATTTCCTTATTCATGTTGTAAATTTTTGCAGCAAGCAGTCAACATTCCACAAATGATTAAACATTATACCTCTTCTGATAGTTTTACTAAGATGGTGAAATTGCCAATTTTTAAAACTGCAATTTTCCAAACTTTTCTGCCAACCTCTGACTCTGATTTCAGAGCTGCTTCAGGCCATATACTTTATCAGTGATGGAAAGGTATTTTGATACCATTAACTTTTTCAAAAGATCCAGCTTTTCTCTATGCCTTTGCCCTGTTTTCTTTAGTGTCTCTTTCAACAGCAGGTGAATATCCTGCTGTATGACATTAGTATTGTTCGGTTGGCCATCCGTCAAACTCCTCAAAAGCGTTGTGAATTACAGTGAGCGTTTGATGCCTAATGGTTAAGTTCTGGTGGTTAAGTCACTGTCACTTAACTTTATAGCATCAGTTTGATACTCATTTTAAGTTGTGGAATTAGATGCATAAATCCAGATTTCTGCCTTTCCTCTCCATCTCCCAATATTGTATTTTTTTTTCATAAAAAATATTTAAAGCATTGTTTGATAGGTAGAAACTCATGTCAGTAGTCCATGGGTTATATCCTGGCTCAGTGGAGTAGTATTTATATACTATTTTTAGTTTTTAGTTTGCCCTCAATGTCTTATATTAAGATTAGTGTATTGTTGATTGATCTTTCTTATTGGTTTTAAGAAATGAAATAACCTTCCCTTTAGGTCTGGTGCCAATATTGCCTATTTTCTAGTAATGGGCTGGCTCAGTGGAATTGCTATATTGACAATATGCTTATTAACTGAAACTTTGTTCTTATGTGAGTAACCATAAAGAGTTTATTTTGTGTGTATGTTTGGATTGATTTTGGTGAATTATAGGGAAATGATGAGCAGAAGGACTGATATTTTAAGGTGCCCGGTAATCACACCAAGGTACTGCTAATCACACCAACCAGACCACCCCTGTATGCATGATTCTTAACATCTGGATGCCTGTTGTTTTATTATGTATATTTTGTTTTTAATATATTAACTTTTTGTGGGTTCATTTAAAGTTTGCTCAAAAGTAACATTGTTAAAGCCACTAAAATGTATGTAAAAACTTGTGCTGTAGACTAGAATAAAATTGTTACTTGGATTTATTCCATTGTCCACATCACATGACTGAAAATAATGATGCATATTTGAGAACTTGAACTTATCTTGTATTTATAATTTGTATACTAGTCCTGTTGTTTTTTAAATCAGAATGCAAAGAAAAAAATATGCCCTCTCATGTAGAACTTTCTAGTCTTCCTTGTAATAACTAAAATGCCAGACATTAATTAAACATTAATTAGCACACATTATCGGTCTAAAATATACTGGTCAGGACCTGAAAATTACAAGTTTATAACTGATGTGTCCTTAATCAAGAGGAAGGAGCCTTATGGTTTACCTTACATAATATACTATAGGACTCAGGTTTCAGGATTTTATGTTAGCAACCAGACATACTGTACTGTAACCCCAACTGCTCTGTGAGTGTTAGATATTATTCTCCCTCTTCTGATCTTTTCTCCTGGTGCTGAATGCCTCAGACAGGCTAGGCAAGTGCTTTGCTTTACCACTGAGATATACCCTCAGCCCTCTCCCTCTTCTATAGTGTAGGAGAGGGTCAGAGAGATTTAAATGCTTCATCCTAAATCTGGGGCATGAATCCATGTCTGCCCAATTCCAGAGCCTCGTCTTCAATCTACCACTGCATTTCCAGAGTCAGCAAAAGCAAACAAATCGAACAACTTGAACTTTTAAATTCATCAGGCATGGGCATGGAAAAGAAAACACTATTCACATAGTTTAGAGCACTAGTAAATTCCAGACGACTGTCTGTCCAATCTAATTTTGAGGATTGAGTGTCTTGAAGCATATATTATTTTCAAGAATTCTGTCCTGTGGTTCACCAGGCTGGCATCATCCATTTTTAGAATACTCCCCCACCACTGTGCTGCCATCTTCCTGATCAGATGAGACTCATTCCTGTCTTATAAGAGTTCATTCCCAGGACCACAGAGGGAGAGAGAATGAATTCCATCATGCACCATAATAAGGGCCACGAATTCCAGAATATCAATGCTGTGGAATCAAAGAGGAAGGCTTCTAACCATGCAAGGGTCAATAGTAAGGTAGAGAGCTCTGGCATCTGACAAAGTTTGGAATGAACAAATGTTTTCTAGGTAAAAGGGGCTAGGGTGTGGACATTCCAGGCCCAACAACAATAGGTGCAAAAGCAGTTACGAAAGAAAGAAAGCAACGTGAGGGCTCAGGTATTGGGTGGGGAGGGTGTCAAGGGAGTTCAGTTGGGCAAGAGGAGAGATTGCAGGCAGTCAGCACATGAGGAGTCTATGCAGAGGAATTTGGCTTGAGTTGGACAGGATAATTGTCATAGGAAGTTTTGAAGCAGGGGAGAGAATGTGCTTTTACTTTAGGGTGACAAAGCTGGTAAGGACAAGTTTGAGGGGTATTAAGCAGTGGCAGGGAGACAGACGAAGGGGTAGCTATCCTGGTTTGATGACTGCTAACTAGGGCTTTTTAGGTCCTTGCAGAGGAAGGGAGGTAAGAAACCTGATCATGAAGTTGTAACTAAGGCAGAGGTGACAGCTCTGGCTGAGAGGTAGGCTCTGGTCGGGGAGAGTGAGAAGAGAAATCAAGGATAGGTGATGGGTGACTGTGGCCATGCCACTAATACGAGAAATTTCAGAAATAGGTTCAGTTTAGACAGGAATGAGTCTCATCTACCTCTGCTCCCAGCTTTTGGCATAGCATTGGACTCACAGTAAAGAGCAATTACTGTATGAAAGAAAAAGTGGTGGATGGAAGATGGTGTTGTGGAGGAGAAAAATTGAGAAGACAGATACTGCTTTGTAGCAAGTTCATCTTGTCCGTTATAAGCCCAGGGCTGGATGGGCACTTACCAACTGGTTGGAACCTGACACTCAGCTTTTTGGAACATTTGTAATAATCACAGGAAAGCTGATAAGAAACTGAGTTGTAAATCTTAGTGTGCTCTAAATAAAGGAAAGTCAAGCTTGTTTACTGAAGCTATCATAAAACCAACTATCAACAATATACAAACTTGGAAAATTATTTTGCCTGCCTTATTTCCCTCCTGAACATAGTAACAAAACAAAAATAGCACTTAATTTTCTGCAACCCTTGATCATTCCTGCAGATAGTGCTAAAATGTAATAACTTTAAAATAACTTAAAATATTACTTCATATATTTTACCCTAAAAATTATGCAACTATAAAATTAAAAACTACTGAGTTCATTCATCCTAACACAGTTTCATATACTACTTGCCAATTCTCTTCTATAGGATTTGGTTTTTGTTTTATGCAGTTGTAAATATATAATATATAAATTTTTGTGTGGTACTGTTTTCCCCTATTTATTATAAGCACATAAAATATATAGTTTTTATAACCAAAAATTTTATTTTATTTTGTTTATTTATTTATTTGGGTGCCACATCCAGGGCCTCATGCATGCTAAGCAACAATAATTGGGATTTTCAATGGTTCTGCCATTTTTCAGAAATGAGTATACATTCTATTTTGCTTAATCATCTACTTAATCTTGGATTTTTAGATTTTTTAAAAAGTTTTTTAGTTTTATAAGCAATGCTGCAGGGAACTAGGTCTTTTTCTGTATTTATGATTAGTATTTAAAGGTAACAGTAAACAACTGAGTGCTTCTTATGTATCGGGTACTATGCTAGTTTTCATGGATTATCTCAGTTAATCTTTACCAAAAAAACCCAAAAGATCCTTATAGGCAAATAATTTCCCTATCACTATTTTACAGACAAGAAAATAAGTACAGAGAATGGGTTCCCTTGCAAGATAAGTGGTAGAGCCTGACTAAACCCAGGAAGGCTAGAGTCTTTTCGTTCTCAAGAGTCCAGTTCCTGGGTCAAATGTTTACTAGTGGGTTTACCCAGAGGAAGACCTTTAAAAATACAGCTTATCCCAACCCCCTTGCATTTTTCCTTAGTGTCTTTAGGTTATGACTTTTCTTCCAATGTGCCAATTAGATGGAGAGTGGAATGGGAAAATCTCTAAATGAAACTGACCTCAGAGAACCAGGTTCACCCCCCTTGTGAAACAAAATAGTTTCCCAAGAGAACCTGGAAAATGTTTTCAGTTTAACAAGGTTAGAATTACTGCATTCATGTTTCTTTCTGCTGCTTTTTCTGTTTTAAATAGATAGTACCAATAAGTTCTTACATTCTGTGCCATTCCCTCCTACATCCATGGTGGTATTTTTCCAAGAAACAGTGCCACTGTGCACTCTAGCTGCTTTGCACGGTTAGTGCAGGTTTTCTCATCAGGGGCCTGCTCAGCGCACAGAACACTTTCTCATTCTGCTGCACAGCTCATTATCACTTAGACTTTCTCTATAGTCAGAAGTCATTAAGTTAAAATAGTCTGGCTAGGCTTAGGAGCCTAGGGAAAATACGCTTTGGAGCTTTACCTAA